TCGGCCCTTCTGCCAGCCCCATGGCCGCACTCCCCGCACACGGGTACCTCGGCCCTTCTGCCAGCCCCATGGCCGCACTCCCCTCACACGGGTACCTCGGCCCTTCTGCCAGCCCCATGGCCGCACTCCCCGCACACGGGTACCGCGGCCGTTCTGCCCGCACCGCGAGTTCGCGGCGGGGCGCGGGCGTGGGGCCGGCAGCGCAGAGGCGCCACCCGCGAGGCAGCCCCGCTCGGGGCTCGGCCGCTCTCCCAGAGGCTGATCCGAGGGATAAGCAGCTACGGTTCCACAAAGCCTCTTACGATAGAACTTCGCACGAGCCCTGGCGTCCTCTCCTGAGCCTTTTATCACCGGGGCTACTCACTCGGGTTGAACCATCAGTGTTTGTCCCTGGTTTTGCTTTCTGTTTTAACGACTTGATTTCTCAGCACCGCGAATAAACATCAGCCTCTCTGCAGGAATCCGCTGAGGCTTCTCAGATGCTGTACACAATTAACCTGGTTGCAAATTTAGCAGTCCCAAGTACAGTACTTACAATCTTATCTCAAGTGGGTGGGTATACTGGAAACTCCTGAGCATCTTAGCCACATTCAGTGAGTAAGTAGGCTGAACACAAGAGATCTGTGGAGTAGACTGCTGATCTGAATTTTAACCACAGTGTAGTTAGTGTTTTTCCCTCTTTATACTTTTTTGTCCTTTTTTTTTTTCCCTGGGGTAATGGGTGGGAAACAGATTAAGTAACACGCACGCACAATTACAAAGTATAGATACTTTATCCATGGAACTAGTGTATGCTAAATGTCTTCTCTTTTTCTACCCTCAGGATGTAAACAGTGAGTTCAGGCTTTGTGTAAGAGTCCAGTTGCCCTTTTCACTGGAAAGGGAGGATTGGTTGTTGGGGTAATGCATTATTCACTCTTGGCTGGGTATATTTTACTTTACAGGACTTCTGCTGCTGCTGTTGTTGCTAAGTCCTTCCAAATTTAAATCAGATTTGGATTTAGGCTCTCTGAGATATTTATTCATGTTCCATGATAAGAAGAGAATTATTTATTGCAATTTTCATTCCCTGAAAAACATGAAAACAATGCAGACATCTGTGTATTTTTTGTACTTAAGTAATTACAGAATTTGAGTGCATTTTTTATGTGAGATTATAGTGAAAGTGTTACTGTGTCTTTAGTAATTTATGGCAAAGGTGTATTTCAGATTGTTGGAAGTAGGCAAATTCCAGATGTGCCCATGTCAGAAAAACATTTTTCTGCCTTACAGAACATGGGGGTAGGATATGTGAATATTATTTGTAAACAGTGTCAGCAAAAGCTGAGTTGCATTTTCAGTAACACCAAGTCTTCATCCATATTAGGCCAAGCATATTAGTTCCTGAAAGCAGTATTTGTTCCTGAATCATCACACATTCGTGTGGATTTTTTGGGTTTTATTGTCCAAATTCAGCCTCACTGCTGTGATTCATACTCTCTCTCTGCTTGCAAAGCAGAAGAAATTAACAAGAGCTTTCTAAGCAGAATTTTCCGTGAACATCACTGGAGAATCTGCTTAAAAACTGATGGTATCATGTGGCCAATGGAAAGAAGTCTATGAATGTAGAGAAATATGTGGATAAACAATAGTTTCCTCTTTGAAAATACAACAACCATCAAGTAGTTTTGCTCTGTCAAACAATTCCTTGCAAATACCCAATCAAAATATCTTGGTAATTTTTCTTCAGAAATGTTTTTCTGTTTGTTTATTTTTATTCAGTAAAACAGTTTCATTTTGGGTCATATAATATTCTGGAAATTTCTCCAGCAGCTGTCAAGCAGCTTGTTGGAATGATTTCTGTCTCATTATTCAACCAGCTTGAAGGTTTTCACTCTTATGGTATTTGGCAGGGCAAATATTTTCAATGCCTGCAACTGACCATCTTATTAACTGTGAAAAATTTCACTTGAACAATAAACAGTGTTCTGCCAAAGAACCACAGCAAGTTATTCCAAAGTACATTACTCAATCAAAAATCTTGGGCAGCATTCATATGACCTCTGCCTGCTTTCAAAATGTTGCATTTTTTTCCTCCAGAATTCTCTATTGAGTAATATGGGTTGGTTTTGGAAAGACAATGAGAGTTTCAGCAAAGCAGTTATAATATTTGGGATAATGACATTCAAAGGGACTCACCTTGCAACCTTTACATGCACAAGCAGTTAAATGTTACCTATATAGGGACAACAGAGATTACTTGTATGTATAAGGTTTGCAGGGTCACACTCAAAGGCCCCAGATAAGACAAAGCATTTCAGAGTAGAAATTGGGTATGTATTTTGCTGAATAGAGCTGGAGTTCTGATCTGGGGCTGTAAATGACATGGTGATGGATGGTCCTGGAGTTCAAGGCTTTTGTAGGAGTCCTACTTTATGTTTTCAATGCCAAATGAACAAAGTATTTGGAAAAAGGGGAATGTGAGAGAAACAAGAAGATAGAAATGTATCAAAAGGTGAATACAGAAGAGTGATAAGGACCTTACTTCCAGGTCTTTCAGTTAGGCTTCTCCAGGGTTAAGGAAAGCTAAAAAAGATGCTCAGCTTCTTGTACAGCTCCTATACACTAGGATTTCTTACACGGAAATTTTTGCCATTGACATCAAAGTTTTCCACAGAAATTAATTTGTTTGTCAAAACTTTCCCTAGGACAGAATCTCAGTTTCAGGAGAAGATTTCAGGACTGGAACAGAAAGAGCCTTTCATCATACCACTTTGCTATAGGTAGACCAGGCCACCATCTGATCTACAGATGCCCTAATCGCCATTGGCTAATCTGTGCTGCACTGTCTCGCTCCATCTCTATTTTTTTTTTTCTTAATGGGAAACAATTTTATTTTATTTCCTCGAGGAGCCAAAAGTTTTCAGATAATTTCAAATGTTTCATGCAGAGGAATTCCTACTTTCCTGCCAGCCTTTCTTGTATGACTTGGAAATCTGAAGGAACTTCATGCTTGCATAAAAGGTTCCCAAAAGGATAAGATTTGGCCACTGGGAAGCTGACAAAATATTTTGCCAATTACTTTATTTTTTAATGATTAAATTGCTCAAAGGTTAACAAATTGGGATATAGCTTTTTCCTAATTAATAAAGAACAAACAAACAACCAACCAAACAAAAACCAACCAAAAAACTACCAAAACACAAAAAAAAAAAAAAAAAAAAAAAAAAAGATGAGCATGAACTTGTCCTGTATTGCAGAAACAGTTTGCACCATAAGGTCAATATTCCATAAACATTAATTCAGAACTGCAGTGGGGCATAGCAGTGTATCAAACTTGACTGCATCCTTGGATAATTTGTAAAGGACAGAAAGGCAATCAAAAAACACAATTTTTGCCTCTTTCAATTCAAAAGGTAACTCCCACTGTTTGAGCACATAGCCTCCATTACTGAAGAGTTTTCTTGTGCTACCTAAGTAACAAAACAAATAAGAACTAACTTTTTCCTCTCCTGGAAAGGGAGGGACTCAGACTGATGTATATTTACTATGTTAAAAAAGCAAATGTTTATATAGTTTCATAGATTCTAAATAAAATTCAGTTGTGGTAAAAGCTATTGCATCCCCTGATGATGTCAATAGAGAGACAATCCTTCTCACCCTGCCTTTTATGTCTGTGTTTAAGAGCTAAAGAAACAAATAATAGTATTAGGCATTACAAACAACCAGGAGATAAGAAACACTCAGGAGCTGAGATTTTTTTGCTGTTAGTGGATGGAGAAAACCCGGTGTGTGCTGTGTTAGCTCAAAGCATGTCTTTAATCATGCACTGGAACATAGATAGAAACTTCTTCCTGGAACACTTATCTGGAAACATGGTAAGAGGCACAGGCTCTTGCCATTGTTTCCAAAATACAGGATGCCAAGTGGGAGAGTGCCTCAGCCCTAGGAAGCCCAGTAGCATCTTGGCATTAGAAGCTCTCCCTTAGTTATGCTAAAGGGAGAGTTCCTGAAACTAGAGCTCTGCCTGGCCTGGTTCCTTCTGGGCATCCCTCCACTTTGGGGAAGGTGAAACATGATCCCCATGGATGACAGCATTCCTCCAAGCAGACTGCAAAAGCTGCCCTGCCTGCTTAGGCCATGAAATGGCTGGGAGCCTTGGAAGAGATGCAAACCAGGGAGCAATAAAAATCTGACTAAGCTTCACATCTAGGCTGCCAGGTAGGAGGGGACTCTTTGGAACTCATGCTCAGAAGGAAGAGACAAGGGACGATTGGGTTTTTCCTCTCTTTGCTGCAAGGACATGTTGCCAGTGAGTGCTGCCTTTCTTGAAGTCATCTTGCAGCCATCTGGCTGAAATACTGTAGGGTTTGGGGGTTTTTCCACATAACTGGCCCATAGTCATTCTGAAGCATCAACACCATTTCCTTCTGTTCATCTATTTGTTTCTTATTCAGCTAGGCCAATGCTGGAAATCATGTTCACACCGATTTTCCTTCTTCTTTGATATCACCATTCAAAGTTCGACTCTGATGAAATGCTAAAAAATGAGCAGACCTTCCACCAAAGACATGCATTTGTGTGCATTTTGAGATATAATTCATGGCACCATATGGCATTATCCTTACCACAAAGATGATTCACTGCTGAGGGAAATAAATACCAGTGTTCAAAAGTATCTTGCCTGACTTGTTGAGAAGTAACTCCAGGCCCTGAAAATTCCTTCTCATCACACTGTACAAAAGGAGGCATTATGTTAGTGATATGACTATGGGTCTAGGTGAGAGGGAAAAAAGGAAAGATAGATTGTTGGAATAAGGATCTGTCTAACATATAACACCTGCACGCACACAAGTCCCACACCTACTAGCACACAAGTAAGTGACTGAGAGAGGAGCACTTATCTGAGCAGTGAAGACAGCAGCAAATCTCATTGCAAAGCAAGATACCACTATTGATAATATTACTGATTAAACACTGTCAGCCCTTCTGCAAATTCCTGGTAATTTCAATGGCTCTGTAGTAAGGCCATAGGTCCGAGAATTTCAGAGAAATAGTGGTGCAGTAAAACCCACTGTTCTGAGCCCATCATAACATCTGTGTTTTTCACGGATTTAATTTGTTTCACTGTTTTAAATTTCTCTCTGCTTTTCCACTGTCTAAATAAATAAAAATATTTTTTAAAGTGATAAAATGGAGAAGGAAAGAACATAAAGATATGGAAATGAAGGTGGGGGGCAAGAAGAGGACCACCTGCACTTTTTATATTGCCATTACTGTTGAAAACGACAGCATTTGGCATCACACAGAACATTTCTGTTATGTTTTTCACTGTGTTTGAAGACTGTTTCAGAAAAATGTTTCAGATTAAAATGTCAATGTTTGTGCTCAACTGGGCCCAGGTCTATAGGTTTAGAAGTATTTTTCCATGGATTCCTGATCTCACATTCTTCATTCTGCATGGCTGCAAGTCATGCCTCATAAAGGTGAGAATGTGGCATAACTGTGCAGACTTAAAACCACAGTTCTTTCTGGTATGCTTTTCAGTTTTATGTGTAGCCAAATGTATGGCCAAATTCTAGTTACTTTGGTTGGTTCCATAGGTTGACACAACCCAACTAAAGGAAATTTAACAGAATCTGGGCTTCAAAGTAAAATACACATACTTTGAAGCACAGTTGTATTCATAAAAGCAGAAATAATGTTTGCTCCATTCATGTGACTTTAACAGAAAGTTACCTTTATATTATTTTGGATTAATATAGTATTTATAATTAATTAAAAATATTTTAGAAAATATATTATTCTTAGATATATAATATTTATATTAAAATAAAAGAGTTTCAAGATATTTAAAAGTTCAGTCAGAGAGTAACATATTATAATGGATAGCAGAGTTCATAGTGATTTTTGTATTTTGACACCTTGTGTAATCATATAGCATTTGATGAAGAAAGCAATTTCTGCCTATACTGCAGAGTACTGATGCAGCTACTGTTGCAAGCAAAGTGGAATGTTATCTGAGCTACAGACTAAAACCTCGAGTCACCCATCAGTGTTTCTGTTGGCATGTAAACTGCAATAATTTCTGTGATGAGAAACAAAACACAAAAATGGAGTATTTTTAAAGTGTACCAAGGAGTTTTTAACACTTAGAAATCTGTTATAATTTTGCAATATTACATTATTTTATAGCCTTTAAAAATGCTCATTTTATTAGTAATACCTTAAACATCATCCTTTGTGAATGAGTAGAATCAATATCAAACAAAATGAGATTTCATATGACACTTTAATTTCTCTTTTTATATTTGAGCCTTCATTGCTTTTTACTTTTCTAGTTTCTAATCAATTTCCCCAATGCTTTCCTCAATTTTGGGAATGGAACATTAAAATAATTTCATATTTAATTAAATTATAAAGCCCCAGTTAGAACTTAACACCCAATAAATAGAATCTAAATAAAGCAGTTATTGCTCAAAGGTAATTTTTATGTATTTCTCATGAAATAGATGATGGTGTATTTTTGCTGGCTTTCAGTGCAAATCTTTTGCATAATCACAAAGTAAAACAATAAATCTTTAAGATCCATTTGTGCTATGAATTGTTAAATTGTTATTTCCATTTGCCTTTAATTTGTGCCTTTTTGAGCATCTTTGCTGCAACAAGATGCCATTGCTGTTTGTCCAAATGACAGTGTTGCAGGAGTGGTAATTGCAAAACAGATGAGAAAATTACCTATAATACCTCACCTACACACTGTTCATGTTCACTTCCCTAATTTCCAAATTAAACTCAGTCCTGTATCTTCTCTGTGGGAACTCTCCAATCATTTTGAGCCTTTCTTCACTACACACACCAATGGCCCTTGTCTCAGCTCCCTTCACTGCTCCTGTGCTACCTGAAAATGAGTGCTATTCTTCTGCATTCCTCCCCGTGTCACATATGACACTTCACAAATCCCACTGATCTTTCAGCTTTTTTTGTCAAGACACAAATTTCCCCATCTTTCTTTCACAGGTCACAGGATTTTGAGCTTCTCCTTCACTGAAATACCTTGTCACAAAGACAGGATGGCCACCCTCTTTTTTCACTCTGCCTCCAGGCCCTCCTTGTGGCCTGTAACTGTGGTCTCTGGAGCAATGTCTGAGCTGGATGTGGAGATTTACATGGAAGGTGAGCATTTGCTCTTATTCTTTTCTAAAAATTTATTTATTTATTTTAGCCCAATGAAATGCAATCTCAGAACCCCTCTTTTTCTCCAATTTTCTGTGTCAGTGGGATCTCACTTTGAGGCTATGATTCACCTTCCTTTTCTTCTGAGATGTGGAAGAACCTTTGTGCTCATTCTGCCCAACTTTCATGCTGCCCACTTCACTGATGAAGCTAAGGGAGGAAGGAACCTGCCATGAGAAGTTTCTTCATGTTTATTTTCTCTTTGTTTGTAGCTGGCCTTGAATGATAGGAGGTGAATAGCTTCTCCTGGATCAGAGAGGTCACTGCAGAACACCGTGAATGTTCTCCATTGGCAAAAGGGAAGAGATTTTCTCTAAAGCTGCCTACATTACTCCTACTTTGTAGAAAAAGAGGGTTTTACTCTATGATGCTGCATTACCACCCCTTCAATAAAATTTGAAAATCTGCAAACTTCCTAATCCTTGCACAAGCACTTAGCCATGAGGTTTTTACTGCTACTAATAGGAGTCTTTCAGCTAAATCTCTACATGTCTCTGTAATTACCTACACAAGAAGTAATGTTCTGTAATACCATTCAATCTCTATTTTCATGTCATGCCACAGTCTAATATTCCTCAGCCCATAGCAAATATGCCTTCAGAAAATAGCCTGAGATAGGACAAAATAAGATCCACGTTCAAGTGAGAAGCACTCAGTGAAACAGACTCCTGTCTAGTGACTTGATACGCCAGACCATAAGGATATAAAAAGTGCAGGGATGGTTTGTGCCAGATACAGTCTCTTGTTGGAAGATTTGGTTCTAAAAACCCATGAGAAAAAGAACTTGTTCTATTCACTGAATGGAGAAAAGCCAAGATATTTGAAATAAAATAGAAACTATTTGAACTATATATACCCTTCACTTTATTTCCAATCAAACTTATCACTGGATGTCTATAGAACAAACCCAAAACACACAGAAAAGTGAAGTGTACAGCCCAAATTGGAGAAGCAGCTTATAGGAAAGACACTGATTTGCAATCTTCCTTCGGTCTCACAGAGCTCTCTACATTGTAGGGGATATTACAGTGAGCTTCAAAAGCCAACCTAGAGAGCAGGTTTTTAGTTCCAGGGTCCCCATAACTTTCCTTGTTTCATATGGGATACAAGAAGCAAGATGACATTTGTTCTAAAATGATTGACTGAGGATTTCACTGGAGGTCTTTTGCAATTGACCTTCTGAGAGAAAAGCAGAGAGATTTGAAACGACAGAGCAGGAGAGCTTTCCCTACCCATCGTCCACTTACATGGGACTGCCTGTGAGTGGGTGAAACAGAGGTAAAACAAATTAACAGTCTGCAAGAAAAGGTATAAGTCAGAAAAGTTGCTTTAGCTGTACATTGAATGACCTTTTAAGAGGCAACCTACTCCCACAAGATAGAGCACTTTGTACCAACTCATGGAATACCTGAGTGAAATCAGTGCATAAAGATTAAAAAAATATTAAATGACAGTAAATGCTAATCCACAAACATCCATGGAAAATGGACCTTCACAAACTGACCTTATAACTGACTTACTTATAAGTTTGTTTGAGAACCATAAAAATTTTAAAAAATGCAAGCTTGATAAGTTACTTGACTTCACAATATCCTGAGACTTTCTAAAGTTGCAAGCAAAGGCATAGATAAATAAATAATCTTAAATAATAAATAATATTAAACCCTAACAAATAGGAAACATTGCCTTGATAATGTCAGTGGTACAAAATAGCCAACTACATTGCCTAATTTTTTCAGATAAATAAAAAAATGTGTTTTGAAATGGCTAAACATGAATTTATACACATGAGAAAAATGTAGACCATACCTAGAGAATGAGAAACTTCTCCAAGAGAAAAAAATTATTATGAAGATTGGTGTGTTATTCTATCTGCATCCTGGATGTTTCACATTGCTGTATTTTCCTTTAGAGGGTTAATAGAACCCTCATTTACATATGTTGTAACTTCAGAAGCAAAGGTTTGTCCAGTTCAGCTTTCTAAAATTAAGGAAATCTGTTGGAAAGTTAGAGAGGTTTTAGGGAAAAACCTGGAAAATGAAATTGAAAAATATATCTTCCAGCACAAGGTTCAAGAGACACTGTCAACTTAATTTGTCAAGAGATAAATTAATCACAGTCCTTACATACCTACATGGGAAACAGAAATTTCATAATAAGATGGCTCTTCAACAGAGCTAACAAAAATGTAATAATATCCAATAGCTTGAAATTGAACCTTGACAAAATTAGGCTCAAAATTAGGTGCATTTTTTTAACAGTGATGGTTCTGAGCCACTACAATAATATACCAAAGACTTCCATAGATTTTTCAAGGAACTTTTCAATAACATTCTATTTCTAAAGGATTGAATATATTTCAAACATTGTTTATCTCAGAAAAATCCATCAGCCTTTTTTAGCAGGTCATCCTGTGTTATCAAACAAATACCCATGAGCTCTGCATTTTGTAGAACTCATGAGAAGAACCCAAATATTTTTATATTTTAAAAATTAGTCTTCCAGGACTACTAATGATAGCTGCAGATTGTAGATGGACTTTAAATTTCAGATAAATTCAAGCAAAACATTTCAAGAGGTAGCTATGAAGTAGCTGCCTAAATCACTTGATATGCAACTAAATAGGAAAAAAATGTAAGTTCTCATTGTCTTAATGCTATATACAGAAAGCAGACAAACAATCTGACTAAATGTTTCTTTATTGAAAGCCAAATCTAGTGTGGTAATTCAGATGATGAATATCCATGTGACTTTCCTTTAACTTAGGGCCTACTATCAGATGTTTCTAACTAAGGGACTCCAAAATTATATAGGAGCCCAGGCTGTTATAAAGAATTCTTTTGAAGCATCAAGAGAATGATAGTTTTTTGCCTAATGGTAAAACATGGATTTCTACTGCTGAAACCAGATGAGCTCCAAAATAGCACTTAGATGCAAAAATCCCCCACAATTAAATCAAATTCAGACAATTAAGATAGTGACCTCCAAAACCACCCCATCTAACTGTTGTCAGATCTGAGAGACAACTGCACTTTTTTTTTTCAAGAAAAAGCCATTAAGTTTGAGGAATTCTGCTAAGTTCACGAATGCTGCCATTCTCAGAGGGAGCACAGCACTAGGTAACTGTCCCCATCTTTAAGGCCATTTCAGTTCAAAAATCTGCTCAGAGAATTTTACTGTGACTTTATAGGAGATGTGGGTTTAGTTATTTTGAAATGGAGAATTCATCTCAGGTTACCCACCTCTTACATGGCTGCTCTAACAACAGGCTATTGTACGAAAGACTGTTTATTTTTCTAAAGAATTTAAAATGTCTGTCACTTATAACTGAAGGCCTGACCCGGTTACCAAATCACACTGTGTGCATCTGGCATGAGAATCCCAGCCATGCAGAAACTCCTTAATCCTGGACAAAGACACCATCTTGAGTAACTCTTTGTTATTTTATATTAGGGAGCTAATTAACATTTTCTGTCCGCTCCCTCATGTCCTCATCCAAATCAGATGTGCAGAATATTGTGCATCCCAGAGTTAAATACCCAACTCCTCATTTGACACAAGAAATCTCTGAATATCTTATCACTGTGTCCCACTAGGACTCTACTACATCATATGTGATGAGATAGGTCAGGGCATATCATGACAAGCTGGCCAGCAAGGGCTGCCTTGAGAGAGTGAGAAAGAAAGAAAAGAGAACATTTGTTGGAATGTATCAAAGAACTGATCTACATTAAAAAAAAAACAAAACGTCAAAACAAACAAAGCTCACAAAAACCCAAACAAACAAAAAACTCACACACTCTTTTTTTTTCCTTTTGTTAAGTAAGTTTTATTCAGGATCATCTGCTCCCCATCCAATTTGCCACATCAGGAATGAGGAGGTTAAAGGGTTTATTAAACTAGCCTACTAATATGGTTACTGGAAGAGAAGGTTTCTGTTTCAAAAAAAGATCTGAATCAGATGAAAAGAAGAATGGTAAAGCACCCTTTCCTAATCATGCCAAATCAAGAGCAAGATTCCAGCAATAACTCCAGAAATCAGACCAATGTCATACTGATTTAGAAAATGCAAAAGCTAGAGGAAATTGGGTAAAAAAATAAGAGGATATGATTTCTAGGAATCATGAGAAATTCTAGTCATTCTTATAAATCTAACCTAAGATATTATAAAAATATAACGATTTTAAGCTTTATATGAAGACTGGAGGAATTCACACTCAAGGTAAAAGGCAAGACTCAAGAACTCAAAAATAAAGTAAACCATAAGTTTTCTTCATCTTCTGATTCACCAGTTCTAATTCAGAACTGCAGTTCCAAGTAAGAAATGAGAGAAAAAAATACTGGAAAAGATAATAATTTAATCAGTATAGCAAACTGAATTTTTAAAAATTTCACAGGAGGGGAGTCTGTCTTCCAATCAGATCACTCAGTATAAGCAAACACTATATTATTTTTTGGATAAAGGAGCAGTGGAAACTTGGTGCTAGACCAAGATGAGAATTATTTTATATGATCCTTTTCCAAGGGAAAACTGCAAAGTTTTAATGTAGGAGTTTCTCCTATGGAACATACAGATAGAAACGAATCTACGTTATATTGCAACTATGCACAATTGTTTTAAAGTATTTTGTCTACAGTTTTGCCTTTTCTTCATGTCATAAATTCCTACTTCATTGTAACTGCAAATATGTAAAAGATAACCATCAACCAAAACATCTCCATATGAGCTACACAGTTTTTAACACTTTTACTTCCCAGAAAATTAAAGTACTTTTGTTTATGACAGCCCTTTTTCTTGATACAGACTTTGTTCCACAGCAGAAGACTTTTGAGGGACTTTGGAATTTTTCATGAAATGGAAAGCTTTCATCCCAATCAAAAGTGGGAGTTAAGGATTTGCTGTATTCTGGTATTCTGGGTGTGTCAGTTTACTGGGCATAAGTGGTCCATTTGTGTATTTGGTATTCTAATTTGCTGACATAATGTGTGCATATAATGTCTTTTTACCTTGAATGGATATGTTAAGAATAAGGACAAGGGGGGAGTCACACAGAGATAATTCAACTTGTTAAACTGCTGCAGGGGCAGCACTGAGCGTGTTGGAATCGCACGAGGCAGTGGAACAGAGAAATCCAGTGCAGCTCTAAGGACCTGATGCCCAGAAAGAGGGGCTGGAGCCATGTCAGTGCTCCATATGGGCTAATGCATGGATGCCTTGGCAGGGCTGATTAATCCAGGCAGAATTAATGTGGCACCTCATTTCTGGTGTTTGCACTAGCTCTGTGGACAGCCCCATTGCACTCAGTTCTCCTCAGATTTGTGTGAGCAGTCAAATAACCCCTAAAGCAGCATTGCTAGCAACTGTCATAACAGGTTTCTTCCCCATTTTTAAGAACAGATAAGGAGGCTCCTTTATGCTTTGTAAGTCTATTAGTGAAAGTTGAAAAACTGTTTTGCAGCTGGTATGAAAGTATTAGAAGTGGTCTTGACTAGTACCAAAAAAATTACTCTGCACCAAACAAAACAACTCTTGCTTTTATACTATTGCACTTTTACCTGAGGAAAGCAATATTTGAAAATGGTTGAGATCCTGAAATACAGGTAATGTCTTTCAGGATGTACAGCCCCCAAATTAGTCCTGGCAGAGAAGCATGCAATCTTTACTGTATGCAATACTCAGTGGATGAACAGTACAGCCATCAGAAGACAGGGCTGGCACATACACTGCCCTGCTCTGATGAAAATGTCTATTGCTGGGTTCTGTGCTAACTGCAATTTCCTAATGACTGGAATTTTTATGCTAGATAGATCACACTGTTGGAGTTCAGTTGGAAGGTTATGAAGCCCTGGATTGCCAAGTCCACGTCATCATTCAATTGCTTTGCCATCTGCTAATATCTCTCTATGACAAACCCAGGTGAATCCCTAACTATTGTAATGATCTGAAAACTTGTGGCCATGTTTCTTCAATGAGAGAAGACTGAACCAGAACATTTTGGTAAAGAACCCCATAACTGTGAATAAATAAAAAAAAAATAAGAAATAACAGCGATAATAATAATAACTGTGTGGCCTTATTTACAAAATAATACAGATAAAATATAAAAATATTGAAAATTTTATCCCAGAATTATTTTTCCTGATGGCCTGCCATAGAATGTGGCATTTTAATATTGTGGAATAGTGATATAGCTTGTCTTAAAAA